AACGCTGTATAAATTAATGGCAATAATGATGTTGGAAATCTGTACTACAACGACGAGATTCTTCTACTACTTCCAACATGAACCTTCCTCGAAATCTTCGTTATCAGCTCCTCAAGAGTTATGTTTCTCTTGAATGATATTTTAACACGCTCATTTGATATGAATACAACGTCGGTTTCATCTTCTTGAATTTCTCCATCATAATAAACAATAGCTGAAAGTCGCGTTATTCTTAGAGTTTAAAAGTGCAATATTATTATATCTGCAAAAAAAAAAAAACAACTGAAACAAACATGATTAAATAAATAATATATGACCAAAAATATAACAGAATAAATTTTTTACACATAAATGTAAATAATTTAAATAATATAATTTTATATTATTACCTGCACCGCAAAAATATTTCGACGTATGCTCCCACTTTCTAATTCTACAAACACATAAATTAATTGAAAACAATTAGTATAATATTTTTTCAAATAATCATATATAACTATAAAATAAATATTATAACAAAATTACCTTATAACAAGAGATCGAGCAAACTTATGAATCAAATATAAGATGATTGTCAGATGTTATTTACTTATTCAAAGGATTGTTGGTGAGAGAGTTTACGGGAGACGACTATTTATAGTCGAGAGAGGATGCCTTAAAGCCGAGAAGTTTGGGAAAATAATGCAAGGCGCGGTCCTTGCACCGTGCCTTGTATGATGCATGTTTGATAATTGAGATAATTGAATAGCGCGGCCCTTGCCTCGCTCTATATCTTACGTGGCGTAAGGCGCGACCCCTGCCCCGCGCCATACACACGTGTATCCATGTCAGCTTAAGGCGCGCCTCAGGGGGCGCGCCTTGCCCTACGTGACGTCAAATCAACGTATAGCGCTATGCAGGGGGCGCGCCTTACTGTAAATGATGTTAGATCAAGAAATATAGTCTGATCGAAAATTTTAAATTAAAAAGATGATTTTTCTAAAAAAAACACCCCGCAGCATTTCGCGTGAGTAGTAGGGGAAATTCTTTCAACTCTCGTGCGCACTATTTTATTAATCGGTACATGTTAGCATTTCCCAACCTAACAAGGCGCACGCTAATAAAGCCTAGATCTCTCTTGAAAACTCCACCATTTAACTAATTCAAATTGTTTTTAGAAAACCCCTGGGTCCCACGTGCCAAATCAAATTCCACTCTCCTGGAAACTCAAAACCTAGTATTTTAGGAATTTATAGAATGTGACATTTTTAATATATAATTAAAAAAATGTTGTTGATTTTATTATTATTTAAATAATAAATTTTTTTACTTAAAATATTATTATTTTTATTAAAAATATTAATATATTTTAATATTTTTAGTAAAATGTCTAATAATAATAAAATCAATAACGATTTATCAATTTTATTAATAAAATCAGTTAAACACCCAATAATAATAAAACCGATAAAAATTATAATATTTCTGATAATATTTATTGATTTTATTATTTAAATAAGACTACCGCACTCATTTCCCCATATTTTCTTTTCCACAATAATTCTATTCACTTCAAACTCCACCAATTTAAAAAAACCGTAGACCCTGCACGATTTTATGACCAAACCTATCCCATTCAATTCAAACTCTTATCCTTAAGTTAACCTGTTCACGTGCTTTAATTAAAAAAACACCAAAACCCTTTTATTTCTTCAACCAATTTTTTTCTTTCTTTCTACAAAAACTCATCACCCTCACCATTTAATAAACTAGCCGCCGCAGGACTCCAAAACCCGAACCAATTGCCGACGTGTTTACCATCGCACCATCAATTCCCATTCAACGTCGATGCTCACTCGTCTCTTTACCTCCGTTATTCACTCTCGCAACACTGTCATGGTTCGAACAAGAAATCAAGGAGTTGACAATTACCTTTTACCGGTTAACCGCGGAAACCATCGCTCACAATCGGATAAATTTTTTTGAGGTAAATAACGAGTTTATTTTTATTATCTCGTTATTGATGTACCAACCCGACTTTGTTTTTGTAGAAAATTTTAACGATGATACATACTCCAACGATTTCTCTTCCGAACATCTCGCCATTTGACACGAAGAGTATATATATTCCTTCTCCTACGCTTTAAATTTTCATATTGGGATACTATGCTTTAAGTGGGGTAGAGCTTGCATCACTTTTCTCTCGCTTGTTTTAATGTTTGAATTTGAGTTGCCTTGCTTAATATGTTGGAATATTTTGTTGTCTATCCTGATTCTTGCCTTGTTTCTTTTATTTTCTCATGAGTTTGTGATCCCGAATTATGGTGCATGATAGTAAAATGGCATGACTAGTGTTTTTCTTTAAATCTTTTGCTTGATATCTCATGAGTTCGTTGATTGACATGTTTCTTGACTCGATACACTTTACATTTTTTGTGAGATTTGAGCTTAGATGAGCGATCTTTTCATTCTTTCTCATTTTGTTGTTTGGGTGGCCAAATTAATGGTGACGTTCTAAAACATATGATTAAATGCATATCGAGACTGCATGTTTTGAACTTGATGCTTTAATATGATATGGACACTTAGGATTTACACACTTCTCTGCCTAAATTATCTTTCCATTTATTTATATCCATTAATAAACTAATTTTGTGCCTTTACCCTTTCTTTGCTTTTACCACATTGAAAAACTCGAAACTTTTTTATTTTTACCCTTGTCAAGATAGAGATTGATTTGTTTCACAAACGAAAAAACAAAAAAAGAAGAAGAAATGTTCAGAAAAAAGGAAAAACTGGTTAGAACAACATTCGAACAAAAAAAGTAAAAAATAGAAAAAGAAAAAAGAAGAAGAAAAGGTTGGTTGTTTGATTTTTTACACTTCTTTGCATACTTTGTTTATTTCGTGATTTGAACTTATATATTTTATTTATTGTCTTGATATTTAAACTCAATTTTGGCATTTTTCCCTACATTAACCTAAGCCACGTTACAACCTTTTTAAAGACCCTTTGATTAATGCATCTTGTTCATTTTAGTAGTTGGGACTTGATTTATTTACAAGCTTATGATAATGTCTTGATTGGTTGAGCGTTTTTATTTTACCCAAAAGACATTAACAATAATGAGTGAATCTTTGAGAATATTGAGTCTTGTTATATTGAAATTGATAGATTATTGGGATATCATAGTTTTGCTTAGCTTGTTCCTAGTTATGACTTTTTACTTTATTGTTACTTGATTTCGATAATTGTTGTGATCTTAATTTGTTTGGTTGTCTTAGATATATTGAGATATTAACTTGAGATTTTGATTTATTTGATTAAGGAATGCTTGAGGAAAAACATTTAATAAGTAAGGAGGAATTTGATGAGTGATTTATTTTGTCGTTAATTACTCCATGATGATTGTTAGATATTAGTGATTTGGTTTGTTTTGATTTGTTTTCTATACATGACTTTAATTTTCAGAAAAATAATGTTTAAACACCTAGTTTTGCGGTTTATTTTATTTTATTTATGAAGTTAGCCTGGACACATGGGCATGATGATGTCCGACGTGATAGAAATTGGTAGTCTAGTCAGCAACTGCTTCTAAAAGGTGATACAATCACCATCATCTAGAAGGACGGTCAGATGACAATTGCTTAAGAAATAAGATTTAGTTTGAATTTAAAAGTTAGGAATTATCAAATTATTATTTAGGATATTACCTTTCTATTTAGAATTCAATTATTTGATTTTTTTTAGTATTATCTTTAGATACTTAGTTTTAAATATTTTCTTTTGTCTTTAGGTTATCTCAAAGCTATAAATGCCTCTTAAGGTAAAGTTTGAGAGGCACTTCACTTTGGATCCGATTTGTTTTGGGGTTTTTCATTTTTAGAAAAGTTTTATTTTTCATTTTACTTTAAGTTTTTATTTTACTTTCTTTAAAAATGTTAAGTATGATTTATATCATTCTTAGTTAATTTTACAATAAGACAAAGGCTTAATCGATGATTGAATTCTGATTGTGAGAATTGAAAATCACCTAATATATTCGAATATCTTTCTCAATTTTCTGCAAACTTGGATTAACAGTTAGCTTTTTCTTTAAAAATCTCTACACTTTTAGTTCAAAAAGAGCTTATTAGTTTGAGTGTTGTTCCGATTTAAAGTTGGGAGAAAGAATCAACTTGTAGCACATTCGACTTTATGTGAACAAACTTAGCGATGGTTCGCTAAGGGAAATTAAGATCGAGTTAGATTCTCATTGAGACAATATAGCCCGAGTCAGACTTTTCTGACGCTTAAATTGTATTGGTGCTAGCGACGATAGTGGTGGTTAGTCCAAATAAAGAGCGAATTCCAAAGATTGAGTTTGGATCGTTGGTTTACCGGAGAGAAAAGTAAGTTACAAGTGTTAGGCCTTGTAAACTGTAATCATCGTGTATTCAAAAGTAAAATCTTATTAGATGATCAATTGGAATTGAGGCAAAGCAAAGCCTTAGGCTATTTTACTTAATTGATATTCTTCTCAAAATTTACTTTCGTTAGTTCCTCTAAATTTGTTTCCAAATTCGCTTTTATTATTTTTCCTTTATTTTCTACTTTACTTTCTCAATTAAAAATTCCCATTTTTCTTACTTTCTCACTAAAAGTCAGAATCAAAACCTTTCAACATTTGGAACTCTTTAGTCCTTACAGATTGACCCTTACTTCTCTATAGTGTGTTTCTAGCTTACTTATGTGAGAAAAAACTTATTTATTTGACAATACACGACATTTGTCAATCATTTGACAATAAACATACAATTATCCTATTGCAATTGTTGATGCTCGAACTCATGATTTTTAGGAAGAGCAATGATTTCTTTAATCATTGAGATAAGTTGATTTGTGTAGATATAAATTTTTTTTGAAAACAAATAAAATAAAATAATTACATTTTTTATTGAAAAAGTAGGAATAGAGAACAAAGCAAAGTTAAACTTATTTTTTTATTTAATAAAATTTAAGGGGGAAAAGAGAAAAAGAATTTGATTCAAAACGCCTTCTCGTCTCTCTCTCATTCGTCCAATCATCCGTTTCTTGAAATGTCAACCAAATTCTGGTCATTTATTTAGCTCAAAACCATACTCTTCAAAAGAGTTTTACTTTTTTTCACTTATAAATAACGATGACTCCCCAGGACTGACTGAGAGCTCTCAGCCTAAGATAAGCAACAACCAACAAATAAAAAACTTTGAATTTTTTTACTATGGCAGAAGAATTTAACGCTGGAATTTGTGGAGAGACATGGTGGAATTCCTCGAAAACTATGTTTGGGGGTGTTCTTATCCGTGTCCTACGGGGATTGCTGTCGACATGGGAAGCTTCGTATGGGGTGCTGATATGGCGGATATCAAGGCAAGGTCTTCCTATGAGGAGTCTGAGGATAGCTTAGCTTTCCAGCTGGGAGCTCAGCAAGGTGATTCAGATAGTTGTGGCACCAGTATTTTACTTGATTCAACCTTACAAATGATGGGTTTCAGCCTTTCGTCATTGTCAACCTCGGACTGGAACCAGTCTTTGATGTAAGTTTTCGTGTTCTATAATGATAACTAATATAATTAGTATATAATCCATGATTAAATATGAATTCATGTGGTTGAAGTTCAAATACAAGGAGACCATGGAGTCCAAAGCTTCAACCACAAGTTAGGAAAGAAGGGTGACTTTTTTAGTTTTACTCGGTAAAGGGAGTCTATATGACTTTATTAGATGAATATATATACTTTTGTCGTTGCCTGCAGTCGGAGTAATGGGAGAAGTGAAGGTTACGATTCAATTTTTCAACAAGGTATGGATTCTTGTCAAACCCAAAAGAATTGGAGTCCAAGGAGCTATGCAAGCCGCGGAGAAGATTCTTCCATTACCACTTTCAAGCCCATCAATCAGGATTTCTCGTTGGAGCAGCAGAGGTTGAATTCAGTAACCAGCTGCGATAACAGTACAGCCACCTGCCAGTTTCCGATGGATTCAGTGTCATATGGGTACACATCGACACTGTTACAAACTTTGTTTCAATCTGATCCTCAATCCCAACAACAATCAGTTTTCAACAACAACAGGTCAATCAACTATATGTCGGCAGCAGCCACTTACGGGGCAAACTGTGGTACTGAATCATCACCTTCTTGGCCAAAATTAGTTCCTTTATTAAGGCCATCATTGCCAAAACAACCGCCCAAAAGTAGCTTGCACTTTACCAACAACAACACACCCTTTTGGAACGCTTCCGCCGCTGGTGTAAACGACGTCAAAGCCGGCTTTTTACCCTCGCGGCTGCAATCCGAGTTTCTTTTACAATCATTAGAAGAAAAACCTAGTTGTCCCGGCCTAACGAAAATGGTAAATAAATATGTTCATGATTGGATCCAGGGCTAGGGTTTCAGGAACAATTTTGATTTATTTATTTCATGTTGTGGACTGGTTTTATAGACTAATACAGAAGAAGCTCGGAACTCGGGGTCAACGATGAAGAAAGGATTAAGCAGTGAGCCTCCATCATTGAAGAGGCCAAGGATTGAAATGCCACCGCCATTACCAGCTTCCAAGGTACTAAAATATAAATTCGACCAAGTTTGTTTACAGTTGGAATCATAGTGATCGTTTATTCAAAGAATTAGATATGAAAGTTGATAGCAAATTTTATCAGGTTCGAAAAGAGAAGCTTGGGGACCGAATCACTGCGCTCCAGCAAATGGTTTCACCTTTCGGAAAGGTGAAATTTGGGTTTTTTCTTATAACTCTACTTTTTTACATTTTTCCCTTTGATAATATCATTGAAAGCTTTGCCTTTACCTTTGCCTTTGGATTATTCTTTACCTTTACCCATTTTTTTTCTTATTCATTTTTCCAGACCGATACTGCATCTGTTCTTCATGAAGCTATTGAAAGTTCCTCCACGAACAAGTCAATGTATGTTCCTCAGTCTTCTTTATATTTCTTTTAAGATCGCATCAGTAAACCTAAATCTACTTTTTTTAAAATAACATGAAGACGAGTGGATTCCATTACCATCAAGAGTATTCTGAATATGGACAGAGAAAATTCTATTTTTACGTAATTTCAGGTTCTAAATACTCCGTATATGAAACAAGCAGCAGCTTCAATACAACAACAACAGGTATCTATAAAAATATACAAAAGAAGACTTTGATGATAAGGGATCATCATTTTCAGTGTGCCAATAATAACAAGGTTAATTACTATTTGAATAATGCACTAATTGTCCGAACATGTCGTACTTTTTTTCTTGCAGAGCACTGAAATTCCGGAACGAGATCTAAGGAGCCTTGGGCTTTGTTTGGTGCCAATCTCCAGCACATTCCCGGTTGCTAACGAGACAGTTGATTTTTGGACGCCAACATTTGGTGGGACTTTCGGGTAGGAAACAGAGGACAATTAAATAAAAGCTAAAAGGAGTTTGTATTGTACAACAACTATACTGCGGTAGATTAAGTACCAGACCCCAGTCCTGCCATAACTTCAATATCCATAAAGTGTAAAAAAAGAAAAGGTAATGGAAAACTTAGAAGGAACAAGTGCTAAATTCAGCGAAAATTTGTTGATGTTTAGGAGCTGAATTTAGCAGATTGTGGGGGAGGGGGTTAAAGAGCCCTTTTGTTCCTTTCGAGTATGTGTGTAGGGCAGCGATCATCTTTTACTCATATAAAGATAGATAAATAATTAAAGAGGTTCTATAGATCATGTATTTGAGTTTCTTGTTGTTGAAGACTGGAATTGAGTGGATCTCAGCTGATGATTGGGGTTTCGACCGTCTTTATATTTGCAGGTAGTGGTAGTGGAAGCCAGAGGGCGACTTTTAGGGTTTGCTTAATTATAATTGAAAGAAAAAAAGATTAAAAAATAAAAGAGGGAAAAAAAGCTCTTTTCAAAATATACATTTCGGCTTGTTAGCTGAGTGGAGTTAATCAAACACAATTATTGTATACATTCAAATACTTAATTAAAAAATTGAATTGTTGTAGATTATAAAACTTCAATTTGCACTTTAATCCTAATTTATTCAGATTTACATAGGATACATGCCAAGTAACTGACAGTTAAGGATCATTTTATCAGTGCCAAAACTTTGCTTCACAAAAGTATCGATTTCTTGTAGTTATGTGGCAGCTCCATGTTGATTGGCATAATGATTGGAATTTTCAGTAAAATTATACTAAATGAATAGTACTAACCATATATCACTATCAAGACAATAATATCCTTTGAGAATTTCTGAATAAAACATTTCGCTCAAGTCTCTCTTAAATTCTTATTTGATCCAATAACAGTAATGTAACACCCCAACCCGTACCCGACTTGGATATGAGTCCGAGATGTCACATTGACTTTTTAAAACAATATTCTTACAAAATAACAGAACATTTGGACTTATATATATATATATAATACGATAATATTCTGTTGAATTATGTTCATTATAACAAATTTAAGGAAAGAAACATTTTTATGAATAATATTATACTATATGAATAGTATTGATACTGTGCAAATAATACCGTGAACAGTAATGTACAGTATCATGAACAGTACCGATGCTAAAAAAATTCAGAATGCTACAGGGGGTATCGATACCCTACTACAGTGTACCGATACCCTGCTACAGTAATTTCGGCTAAACATATATAAAACTCCTAAAAATTTAAACTTCCATCACTATACAGTTACCATTTACATAAATACGCTTAAAACATTACAAAACTCAATCAGAGCATACATACTTAATTTACCGACTTTGTTTACATGCCAACCTATTTATCATATAACAAGACATACTGTATAATTTACTTCTAATCTGATCTTTGAGCGGAGATATGTTGTTCCTTTGAACTTAGCTTTGATCCTCCTGCTTCTCAATACCTACGTGTAAATCACTTACACGCTAAGTCATAGACTTAGTGAGGCATGAAAAACATGTAATATTACTCTACTCATATCAATGCATAAACAATTCTATATTCACCAATACACATATATCATTAACATATAACCTTTCATATAAAAGCATATATCCTTTCATATAACCAATACACACATATACATATATCATTAACATGCTTATCAGTACTTATATTATTATCACTAATTCTCTTTTTATCATATAAGCATATACTGAACATTTCTATATTCACCTTCGAACATACATATCATTTCACAAAAGAGCACACATAGTATCATATCATTTGATTTATTTACTCTCTTTAAAGCCCATGTACACTTCTAAGAACTTAAGGTATGTGAGTAAATTGAGGTTATACACCACTATGCTGTCACCACAGCTCGTATAAATGTCCCGAAGGACCAGTCCATAGATCCCGAAGAATCTAGGTAATCAGTCCATATGTTCCGAAGAACATAGGTAAACAGTCCATATGTCCCGAAGAACATAGGTAAACCCTCGACTCTTGGCATGCAAACTATACCCCTAGATCTCATATCACATAACATGGGCACTATCATTCATATCATTGCTCTTATAATCATATTTTTTTTCTTCTGTCACATACCATATGTATGTGTAAACATTTGTTTCACATGTGCATGTAATCACATAGCATATAAACTTATACATGTATTCATGTACATACTTCCATATATTTCATGTATCAATGCCAGATAACTTATGTCATATTTTCATATAGTTATGTAGTTCAGTATCACATATCACATATAATAACATATGACACATATACCCATTTCCATGTACTCATGTATTCATGCTCACCTAAGCATCATATCAATCACAATTCAAATAACATTTCAGGAGTCACCTCTTATCATAGTAACTCCGTCACTGGCTCATCGCAAGTCAATGTTTGCTCAATAACATAAATACAAATTAAATTGCACTCACCTTGACACTATATATCCAAATCCACTTCTATGATTTATCTCTTTGGATTGATCCTAACTTTGTAGTCGTTTCAGAACTTGCTTGTGCTCGTATTTATACAATCAAACATTTTTAAGGTAATTATCAGATATCTACACCTTGTAATTTGATGCTAATAACTTAAACGAATTTAATGAACCAAAATTCACTTTTTCCTTTAGGGGGTATCGATACACTCCTTAAGGTATCAGTACCCTTATTACATTCTGTGATTTTTCGTTCAAGAGGGTATCGGTACACATACATAGGGTACCGATACACTTTGCCCAAAACATGCTTTTTCACCCGAAAATTCATCAACTCTTCACTGAATTTCCTCATACAAATCTCCTTTCATGCCACCAAACTCAACTACAACCATTTTAACTAACTTCTATCATTCCTACACTTTATTATCTCTCATATATCATTCAGATTCTTAAAACTAAGAATCTTACTAAATTTTCCATGTAATCCAAACTTATTTCTAACACTTATAACTTCTTATTCACACCTATGACAAGTCAAATTCCATCTCAAAGTTCCTTTATTAACTCTTTTCCATAAATTCCCTTAAAAACCTCTTCTCTTTAATCTTTCATAACTTCTTCATCTTTTGATTTTAAGACAACTTAAGCTTTCCTTAAGCTTAAGTATTACCTAAGAATCAAAAACTCATACTTAAAATCAACAAATAATCAGCTAACAAGAAAACTCACTTTTAATGGAGACTTACGGGGAGAAAAAGAAAGAGAAGAAGGCAAGGAGATAAGCTTCCAGATACTCCTTCACCCCCAATGTTTATCTCTTAAATAAGAGATAAATATCTTTTACATGAAGAGACCATCTTACCCTTCATACTTTCGTTCCTCATAATTTAATCCGATACCAGAATATATCACTTTAAATCTCTGAACTTTTTAATAAATTCTATTTTAATCACTAACTTTTGAACTTTTATAATTTGGTCACTAACCCGTAGTTTAGGATGTTACAAGTAAGGAGAAATTTTAAGATTCTTTTGATAAATATCATTTCATTCATAGAATAATAAAAAGCAATACAAATTTCTATATTACCACTCTAATTAACTCTAGCTCCTATGATAGAATAGGAACGGACCTAAACAAAAATGAGTGGGGTAATCGTCCTCTAAAAATTTTAAATTTTTATAAAAAAATTTATTTGTATTAAAAATATATTTTCGTTTCTTTAAATTTTTATAAATTCTCCCCAACCAAACATAAAATTATGCATCCCGACATGTGATAGAACCCTCTCATGTTTTCCATAAAAACGTCACACAATTTTCTTTCATAACCTTTGACAGCAAAGGTAGATTTCTAATTCTGTGTGTAATCTTCCCCAGCAACCAGTGAGCCACAGTCAGCTTGTCTAAGATTCTTAGTCACCAAGGGAGAGTTCCGAGCTTCAGTCCAGTGCAGTCAATAACATCTTGAAGCTCTGCCTGCGTTAATCCAGAACTCAAAATCTCACCTTTCAATCTATTCATTTGAAGCCCTGACATGCTATAACGCACGCCCACCAGATCTATGATTGGAGAAATCGGGTTGTGTGATATCAACCCAACTTGTCCACCATTAATAGCAATAGAATCCGTATTCTACCGTTAGCGCAGGACTGTAATTATTCAAATGTTTCCATCCCTCAAATCTCCTATCCAGAATCCCCTTAGCATTAGGCAGCTGTTTTATTCTGATTTCTAGTAAGCAGAGAGAATCTATATGCCTAAATTCAATCAGTTATTTAAACTTGTTACATAATGCATATCGAAAATTCGAAATCAAACTTGTTACATATAATCCCGTACGAATAATTATATTGAAAAAAAATTAAGTATATACCAATACCAGTTGATTTCAATTTCTATCTTTTAATTTTTTTCCCCTTTGGGTTACAGAAAAGTACAAAGAAGGAGACATAAAATGGAATACTAAAAAGGGAAAGCATATGGGCAATGGGCATCATTGTTGATGTTAATAAAGTATATATGAGCTCCATCAATGTATGAGCTTAGATCTGTCACTTTCGTAAAAGTTGATCATTTTTCCTTGTTTTGGCTAATCTAATGAAGAACTCGAACAATACTTTCTATCTTCCACTACAAGTTGTCTTCTTCCTTAGCTTGAAAAGGGCCATTACTTTTCACTCCTTTGAATCCAATATCGTATGCCATTTTCGAATCGACGCTTTATGGCTTATAATAACCTTCCAAGGAAGTTCCCTTACACCATTGTTGCAGATTCTTTCGAATTTTCCGGGTGTTGAAAAATGATTCGTCACCAACTCATTATTTTCTTTGTTTTCTCATGCTATTTGACATATCGGAAATGTTTCTTTTTCAAAGGAGATTTCATTTGAATTTTGACCCCAGATTGCATTATTATCATTATTCAAACATATCAATAAGTTTGAACTAAATCTATCATAGGAGGCATTGCAAGAATCACTGCATTGAAGGATCCGCTGCCTTTGCTACTACATGTCTCGAATATGACCATGACAATTCAAAATGTTTGTTCCTTTCTATGTACGTAATCCAGATGCTAAGATAATGAACATAATGTCAATTTTCATTGCAACCATTTAGAGTTGTAAACTTGCTTTAATTAATAATACTACAAACAAAGATATAAGATTTACATCGGGCCCTTTTGTGGAGCCTTTAAGGAGCTTAAGCTTCTAGCCGAAGGCTTGGATTCAAATGAAGCAGCCGTTTTTCAGCAGTTTGTTACATGAGAACTGAGA